TTCTCTATCCAACGATACCAAAACAAATTCTGTGGCTCGAATGGTTCCTGAGAAACTTCGAAAAAAGCAGCGTTATGTTCAAGTGGATTTTGCAATTCAAAAAAAAACCACGCAAAGCTAAAACTTCTTGAATTCAAGCATTTTTTGATAAAACTGCAAACATTTCCTGATCGATGGTTTACTTTCTAAAACCGCCATTTACTTCTCTCTAGAATGATGTACAAATGAGCGTTCTTGCTCATTTTACCTCCGAGAAATGAGCAAAAATGATACGGAAAACATGGAATTTTGGCAGCATCTTGCATCTAAGTGTCTGATATTCAAATTTCGCTTGCTGGGTCAAAACGACTCGAATTTCCTCACTCACGTTGTGACGACTGAATCGAGTTTGCAATTCTCTATCCAACGCTGCCAAAACGAATTCTGTAGCTCGAATGGTTCTTGAGAAACTTCGAATAAACGCCATTTAGTTATCTCTGGAATGATGTAAAAACGAGCATTCTTGCTCATTTCGCTTCCGAGAAACATCTCATCACGAGATCATTTTTCTAATTTCAACAGAAGACTGTATTTTTTCTACATAAGACTGGACAAGATTCTAGATTACTTAAACAAGCTACATCTAGGTATCAAATTTTCCATCTAAGTAAACGAAGACAATCAACTGAGCTTCTTGAATGAACGATCAATTCAAAAGTAGGGAATCAACAAGACGTTCAAAAGCAGAACAAAGCACAACATTTGAAAGTCGAATTAAAACTCCTTGAATACCGTTTCTCCGCAACGGACTTCTTCATGATTTCAAAATGTCGCGGAACCAAAATATCTACTCACCGATTTAACTTAATGATGTAAAAATAATTGAGACGTTCATTATAAAATACCTGTGCTTTCTGTTCTGTTATGTCGTTGTTTGGTTTTCTAGGGAGAAGAACTGATAAACGCCTTTATAGAGTTAGGAAAAAATGAAGGTGATTATAATGGGGCAGACCAGTTTGCTGTAAGTAGAGTACAAACATTGCTGGATTATAATACACGTTCAGGCACCGCTCACTCCTATCTGCGACCGATATTAAACCGAACAAATCTGGTGATCAGTTTGGAATCATTAGCCACCAAAATCCTAATTTCCGATCACGTTGCCACTGGCATTGAGTTTTGGAAAAATGGGACCAAATATACCGCGTCTGCTGAAAAAGAAGTGATTCTATCGGCTGGAGTAATCAACTCTCCTCAACTGTTGATGCTTTCTGGGATTGGTCCAAAGGAGGAACTGGACAAACATGGCATTGACACCATCGCTGACTTGCCAGTAGGACAAAATTTTGTTGATCAGGTCTATTTTCAAGGAATATTTTACCGGTAGGTATACAATTGTGCGGTTCTTGAACTTTTCGCAAATTTCGCTAACAAACAGTCTTTCACTTCCTGAGTGTATTTTAAACCAATAATTTGATTCATCTAATGTTTTTTAGAACAAACCATACATTCTACAACAATACATTCATGGAAGATTTGGATTTGTGGTTCCAGAATAAGCGGCCCTACACCGACTTTGATACGTATCAATTAATCACGTTTTACAATTTTAACGAAAATGCCACTAATACTTCGGATATTGAGGTGTTGATAGCTGGCCCTCCAAACAACGGTCCCAGCATTGGCAAATCGTAAGTAAAACTATGTATGGATCAACAAACCATGTCAGGATGGTGTTTTTCTCGTCTTCTATCAACTGAACATTTTGCACATTTGTGCACAAAACTGTGCACATCTAAGCTTACACAAGCTACAAAAACTCGTTAAGTTCACCACTTCCACTTAGTGACTGGAAACTTCTAGAAATATTTACAAATTTTCAGGTACACCAATACGAATTACTCGCAGGCTTTCGATGTTTTAAACACCTATTCGGACATTAGTATAGACCTAATATTATTGCTACCTAAATCCATCGGAAATGTTAGATTAGCATCTGCCGATCCCAGAGATTTTCCTTTAATTGACCCGAATCTCTTTTCTGATCCTGAAGATTTAGAAACGATGTACAAAGCAATTGAGTTTTTGCAAAACTTAGAAAACACCACAGCCTTTGACCGTTTGGGAATCGAACCGATCATCTTAGATCTTCCGGACTGCGATGCCGATTTTGAAAAGCAATCAAAAGATTGGTGGATATGCAGTTTACAATATCTTTCAATTGCCGTAAGTAGAAACCAGTTAAAAGTGTATTTTACTAAATTTTTCTAAACGAAATTGTGACATTGCGTATTAAAATTGATGTTCAATTGCGGCGCTTTGCACAAAAACGCCTTTAAAGGTGGTAATGTTCTTTTTTTATTTGCAGTCTCTTCATGGCATTGGAACTACAAGAATGGGGAATGAATCACAGAACTCTGTAGTGAGCTCAACTCTAAAAGTCCATGGTATCAAAAGCCTGCGAGTGGTGGACTGTGGAATTATGCCGCATCAAGTTTCTGGCCATCCAAGCACACCCGCTATGATGGTTGGGGAAAAAGCCGCCGATTTAATCAAAAATGAATATTTTCCTTAGTTGTATTTGAAAAATTATATTTTTTCTACTTGGCAAACAAAATTGTTCATCAAATAGTAAATCGGTTCTAGATATATTCAATGTTCTACTGTTGAAAGGTAAAATTCTAAAAAGTTTCCATATAGCAAAATAAATTGGGAATGTATGTACTTGCTTTTGATCGGCTTGGGCACATATTATCTACAACTTTTTTGCTTGCAAAATTCAATGCTTTTTGATATGGAAAAGCAAATATATACCTATTGGTATTATAAATTAACAATTTGTTTATGTACGTTCGCAAATAAATTTGTAATTCAAAATGAAGCAGATGCGATTTCTATATGCAAAAGCAACCTTTCACGTAGCCATTAGTGTTTGTCTCAGAAATATTCAGTTTAATCAATCAAAGATGAACATTATTGAACATTTTTATTAAAAGAAGATTTTAATTGTCTTTCATTGATCTTCAGTTGAGGATTTTCAATAGTCTTCGATTGATTACGTATTCAAGAATTCTGTACAAGTTTTGATCACAGCAGTCACACCTCAAGCATAGTCCAGAAGAATATAATGCTTAATGAAGAAATAATTAAAAATCTATATACGTAAATAATTCACCACAATATCAAACTTAGAGAACACACACATTAAAAATATGCATGTCACAAAGATATTTCGAGTTCCTACGGAATGTTATAATTACCAAATTGAATTTTTCCGATAACGTGTTTTGAATTGTGATAGATATAAGTGCTTGAAAATATTCTCAAAAAATCCACGATTATCGAGTGGGTACTTTGCGATATTGTTCGTTTCTTTCCGATGAATGTTTTATTTCATTGTGAAGTATCCGCGCCAACTTTCAACACCCTTAAATCCTGTAAAAAATACTCTTCTCCATGTTTACTTTTTATTTGCAACATAAAATATATAAAATGAAGTATGATTTTTCGAGGGAAAAATAGAGTTTGCAGATTTAAGGCATGGAAAATTGGAATTATCCTGCAATTGGCAACATGAAAATTAAAAATATTTTTCAAAACAATTTTTATTCTCGCCTTAATGCCTAAAGTACATTTCGTGGTTTGATGATTTCAACTACTCTTAAATGGATTACTTCCGTAAAATCAGAACGTGAATAACAAAATATTAAAATTGTTGCGTCAGCCTGTATTAATGTTAATGATGACTTAACTTAGTTTCCCGATAACGATTCTAATTTAAAATAACAGCAACTACAAATCAACTTTGTAAGATGTGTTAAGTGGAGTTGTTCTCTAGATCTAATTCGAGCACTAAGAGCTGAAGACATTTTGTACCACAGCATTGAAGCATTTTAGATCACCAGTTTGATTCCCTGAATTTATGCAGACGTGCAAACGAGCGAACAATATTATCTTGAAACATACAGGTGCATTAAAACAGACTTAAAACCAAAAGTTGAAAATCCGTATATGTGTATCTACAAATATTTGCTCATTCGCAGTATAAAAATAAGAATATGTTTTAATTGAAAAATTTCTCATTGAGTTTACGATGAGACAAGTCCGTGTAAGTGCTTTAGCCGCATTACGTATTTCACTTTTTATTCTCGGAGTAGTCAGCGATAGCTCAGATTTTGAGCAATTCGTCTCAGAAATTTTGAGCTTTATAAATGACACCACGACGTACGAGAAGCCCACTAATAATGATGCTTTCTTCGGCAATGGAACTGACTCGGATGAGGCGTTAGATAAGATTCTTGCTAGTTTAGCTTCTCAGCTAACTAAGCAAAATATTTTGCTTTATTGCTGTATAAAAATTTGTCGATTAGTACTGTAATTCTATCAAGCAAAGTGCGTTTGTTGAATTCGAAACTTTCTGGAAACTGGCGATAGTGGCGAAGTTGAGGCTTAAAAAAATGACTTAAAAATTACTTCGATTATTTAATACGAGATATGCTACAAAGCCTCTCCCAATTTTAAAAACAAAACCATTAGTCATATTAAATAATATATTAAATCAGTCTTTTTTAAACTTTCCAAAATATACATGTTTTTACAGATTAAGACTAATTAAGACGCTTTTGCAATAGCTAT